TATAGGTTGGTTGTTGATTAGCACCGACATGTCATTGGCCAAACATGGCGGCAAATGTCATTCGTCGAATGAGTAGGCAGCCGCCTTTCCCTGTCATGTTGATTCTATCGCTCTGGACACAAACATGATGTCAAATGTCATTCGTCGAATGTTGTTATTTTTTCTTTGAAATAGTTTATTTAAACAAAATAATACAAAAAGTATAACCAGTTTTAACAATAATTCCCCAATCAGTGTTTTGCAAACACTGGCCCCGAGAATAACAAGACAATAATCAATATCTATGAACTACAGTTTGGCTCTAGCACTGCACCACAAGTTTCTTCCTGTGTTAATTGTACAGATAATGGCCCAGAACCACACTGTACCGGTGGACAGACCCGCAGTTATGTGCCCACAACCCAAATCTGCAAAGATGAAGCCTTGCAACAACACCACCAACAGCTACATCGAGGACATTGATTCAGCCTGACTACAAGAATAAGAAGAAGGTTTTGTTGATAATCGGTGGAGCAGCCACTGTCTTTATTGGGAGTGCAAATCAAGATGAAATGTCCAGTCAGAAGGTCAGTATAGACAACACCTGTCAGCAGTTTTTTTGATTACCCACTGCAAAACTTGATAGCTGTAGTCACAAAAAATTACTGTACCTTTGATAACAAGTAATTTGGGTCTTCTAGGACACCAGAAATAATAATCTGTTACTCATGAAATAGTCCTGTGAAATTCCATTCGGACATCGTAACTTTTTCCTGTGAAAAAAAATCGAAAAAACAGAATGCAAAGTAATATTTTTCACATCATCAATAATAGCTCAAGTTCGACTGAATATTTACAAAGACAGAGACTATGGGAATTTATATTTTTACACATTGCACAATCCACAATGCATTCAAGCTTTCAAGCAATTGTTGATGTAAACGATAATGGAACTTTTTATTTTCAGCTTTGCAAAAAAGAGCAGTTAAGCACGAAGTTTGACTGTAGATCTCAAAACATTTGAATCGAGTAGAAAAAACGAGCTTCCTTAATATTTCACTATTAAAGAATCTGACAAGTATGGTTGGTGTTGCTCTTTTCTTTGAAAAATTTATTCAATGCCCCGTTAATCTGTGAAGAAAATGTAAAAAGAAATCTGGTGAGTAGATGTATGGAGAAATAACCTTGTTCAGGGTCTACAGAATAATTTTTATGGATTCTGAATATGTCAAGGTTTAAAACAATTCCTCATTGTAGTGTGCAGCAGGACGTGGCGTGTCAGGAAACAAATGCAGAATCATCCGAAGAGTCCGGTACGAAATGAAGAAACTAGTCGGACCAGCTTACAAATGATCTCATCAAGCCACCCGTTTCAAAGAACTTCATTGGATCGCCGTGTCAAGCAATAAAATGTGAACTGGTGCTTTCAATATAGGTTGTAAAATGCAGTATTTTATGATATAGGTTTGGTTGTTGATTAGCACCGACTTGTCATTGGCCAAACATGGCGGCAAATGATTCCCAAGAATAACAATAACCTAACTTAAGATACATAACGTATATAGGACCAAAGATATATAACATTCTGCCAGAACACTTGAAAAGTTGAAAAACATTTAGCACCAGCTGCAGAGAATATATTTTTGAGATATACTGCACAATTTGAAGGTTTTCTAATGATTTTTGATAGTACGATTGAACTATTGTTCGGGATATTGAGGTTGATTATTGTTTTTTTTATATTGTATTTATAATCCAATAAATAGCATATTCTTCTGATTTGTAAGTCCGGATGATGAAAGCACATACAGGTGGTTTGAACCATCTAGGTGCATCTTTCTGTCATCAGGATGTCCTTGATGAGAGGAATTATATTGCTGTATTATATATTTATGTGTATTTATAATTTTTTGTATATGGTCTTTGTTGGATGTTATTGATATTAATAAATAAATGAGTCATTAAACTCTGGTGTTAACAGGTTTCACTAAGTATAATTATATCATATGATGCCATGGACACGTTGTTTGAAAATTCATTCAATTTAGTTCTGATGCCTCTAATGTTCTGGTAATAATCCTAATATCATTGATAGGGTTAATTCCTGCGCCGTGGCTGGGCGAGCCTTTTAAAAAGCGTCTACCTGTGCTGATGGTAATGGTTGATTTCTTCTAGGAAATTGAATGGCTTGACAATCACATTTTCAGGCCATATGTCGCTATTAAATAATGTATTCTTGACACCAGGTTTCACGGAGAGCGCTTAAAAGATGCCACCACATGTTGGTTCTGAGACGACAGTTTCTCACAGGTTAAGGCTTCAATGTTGTTGGACTTAAGATAATTTAGTAATTGATCAGTTGTGGTTCCTGCTTCCAGGTTGCCTATATAACACCAGAACTGTTCCTCCGCTGCTACAATTCCAGTTGAAGTTTTGTTTGTTACCCCTGACAAGAGTGTTAGAGTTACCAAGTTGTTTAGGACCTGTTGAATGTTCAGATTGCTTGATGGGACCAGGTTTAATGGAGACTGCAGTTGAGCAGGTAGGAGGGCCATTGATAGAAACCAATGCATCATTGATAGCTTTACTCGTTTGCTCTTGTGTGATTTCATGGACTATTGGGGGCTTGGACAACTTACTTGCATATGTCTTCATCTCAATCTTCATGCAATTGAGAAGTTCCTATTAGTTTACCCTGAATCAAGTTAAGGTGTGAGCTCAAGGATTTGGTTAGTTCATTGTTGATCTTTTCAGTGAAGAACAACAATTTATCGTCAAGTATAGGTTGTAAAATGCAGTAATTTATGATATAGGTTTGGTTGTTCATTAGCACCGACTTGTCATTGGCCAAACATGGCGGCAAATGTCATTCGTCGAATGAGTAGGCAGGCGTTCTTTCCGTGTCATGGTTGCTCTAAGCATTGCACAAAGATGGCGGCAAATGTCATTCGTCGAATGAGTATGCAGGCGTTCTTTCCGTGTCATGTTTGCTCTAAGCATTGCACAAAGATGGCGGCAAATGTCATTCGTTCGAATGAGTAGGCAGCCGCCTTTCCCTGTCATGTTGATTCTATCGCTCTGGACACAAACATGATGTCAAATGTCATTCGTGGAATGTTGTTATTTTTCTTTTGAAATAGTTTATTTAAACAAAATAATACAAAAAGTATAACCAGTTTTAACAATAATTCCCCAATCAGTGTTTGCAAACACTGGCCCCGAGAATAACAAGACAATAATCAATATCTATGAACTACAGTTTTGCTCTAGCACTGCACCACAAGTTTCTTCCTGTGTTAATTGTACAGATAATGGCCCAGAACCACACTGTACCGGTGGACAGACCCGCAGTTATGTGCCCACAACCCAATCTGCAAAGATGAAGCCTTGCAACAACACCAACCAACAGCTACATCGAGGACATTGATTCAGCCTGACTACAAGAATAAGAAGAAGGTTTTGTTGATAATCGGTGGAGCAGCCACTGTCTTTATTGGGAGTGCAATCAAGATGAAATGTCCAGTCAGAAGGTCAGTATAGACAACACCTGTCAGCAGTTTTTTTTGATTTACCCACTGCAAAACTTGATAGCTGTAGTCACAAAAAATTACTGTACCTTTGATAACAAGTAATTCGGGTCTTCTAGGACACCAGAAATAATAATCTGTTACTCATGAAATAGTCCTGTGAAATTCCATTCGGACATCGTAACTTTTTCCTGTGAAAAAAATCGAAAAAAACAGAATGCAAAGTAATATTTTTCACATCATCAATAATAGCTCAAGTTCGACTGAATATTTACAAAGACAGAGACTATGGAATTTATATTTTTACACATTGCACAATCCACAATGCATTCAAGCTTTCAAGCAATTGTTGATGTAACGATAATGGAACTTTTTATTTTCAGCTTTGCAAAAAAAGAGCAGTTAAGCACGAAGTTTGACTGTAGATCTCAAAACATTTGAATCGAGTAGAAAAAACGAGCTTCCTTAATATTTCACTATTAAAGAATCTGACAAGTATGGTTGGTGTTGGTCTTTTCTTTGAAAAATTTATTCAATGCCCCGTTAATCTGTGAAGAAAATGTAAAAAGAAATCTGGTGAGTAGATGTATGGAGAATAACCTTGTTCAGGGTCTACAGAATAATTTTTATGGATTCTGAATATGTCAAGGTTTAAAACAATTTCCTCATTGTAGTGTGCAGCAGGACGTGGCGTGTCAGGAAACAAATGCAGAATCATCCGAAGAGTCCGGTACGAAATGAAGAAACTAGTCGGACCAGCTTACAAATGAAGGGCTTATTGTAATAACGCGATAAGCCACAAAAGCATAATAAGGAGTTATTTGACTTTTAAGTTTTGGAAAAATGTGAAAATCAACGTTTATCATAATTAAACTTGAATAATTTTTTTTGAGGCTTTTAAATCCGTATCTGTTGAATTTGTTGAGGAAGAGTGAAAAAAGACAACTGATATCCCAAAAAAATTTTTTTACAAAAACAATGTGGCTTGTCAGATTATTGCCTATAAAAAAAATACAGTAATATTTTTATAAGGAAATGAGGATTAAACTCTACCGCACTTTTCTGCTATACGATTTCAACATCTTCTCATCACTTTCTCTGGAGGTTAGTCCATTGAAGAAGGGTAGATGTATTGGGGGTATATATGGAAAAAGAGATTGTACATTTTTAAGTTTCTTCTTTGAAATTTTATAGGTTCCATGTACTTATTTTTCAGCTGACATAAGGGTGTATTCACAGGCCTACCCTTTTTTGTAATATTCACTTCGTTATACTCACCGTTTACAGAGTGCTTAACAAAAAAAGATTTTGTATTTTCTGTTTTAAAATGGAAGGTATATACACCAGAGAAGTCTAAATTTTCCTTGTTACTCATGCGAGTACTCTTTTGAACATTGGCCAACAATAGTTCCAATTTGAGGAAATCTTCTTGCTGCATAACTGTGACCTTGAAAGGATTCTTGTTGTTAGCATCTTTGATGATTTTGTGCCAACCTTCTGGGGAATACACTTCAGGAGCATATTTTCTATGCCGTTTTTCAATCAACGCGAAGTCCCGGTCCGACGGCAAGTGGGTATGTCCAGTAACAAGAAAATGATGTGTTATTGTTTTAAACCATTTCTCTTTAACTAACTGCAACCAAAATGCCATAAGTTGCCAATTTTTGTTTTGACCAGGACAGTTATCCGTGAATACAACAAGGTGATCTACATCCTTTTTATCTTTAAGAAATTTAAAAAGTACAGAAGCAACTTCATCCGCTCCACGTTTGGCTTGATTTTCTGTCCACAAAAACATGTGACCCTGTTGAGCAGTACAATCGTGTACTCCAAGGTTATAGAGCCAAACTTTTCTGGCAATAAAATTCTGGGCCTGTTGTAAGCTTGGGTATAGGCATTGCCTGCTGTAAGTCAAAACTGATAACACATACGTTTGTTGTACTTTTTGATCGGTCTGTCTCTAATTTCAGCAAATTTTGCATTGCTTTAGTTCTATTTTGGTGTAAAGTCAAGGAAGTAGTTAGCCTTTGTTCCTCTTTGTCATCGTTGTTTGATTTGACAATATCAAGTTTGATCTTTGACTCGTCACATATTTTACATGTGTCAGACTTGGGCAGCTTGAAACCGATATTGTATTCAGTGCAAAATATTTTACGGTAAGCACTTTGTTTCACCTGGAATAATGTTTTGTTGTTGACACCACGGAACATAATAATCCTTATGCAAGCTTGCTATGGACATATCGCAGTTAAGATACATTTTGTTGATGTTATTTGCTCTGCTATAGTGGCTCTGATATTTTGGTATAGCATCTATATGATTTCTGACAGATTGTTTTTGGTCAGCGCTTAGTGCATTTGGTCTATTTTTATGTTTACCACGTCCGTCTTTTATAGGGACAACAGCTCCGGTTGTCTTCATTTTGACAATATGGTCGATTCTGCCTCGACAATTTTGCAGTCCATGGACACTCATAAATTCGACCTTACATACCCTGACATCCCTACCATCACATTAACAATATATTGAGCTGTAAACTGTCGACTAGATTCTTGACGTTTTTGTTTTTTCTTGTAAGATCTTTCTTTTTTAGAACTCGAATAGCACCAAAAAGGTAACTGTTCTGAGATCATAGGAACCTAGATCCCAGAATTTTGTGAAGATAGTTTTCATGGCTATTACTGAGCTTGTCTCGGCAGTTCTTCTGGCATCTACATGGTGAACCCAATTCTCGAGGTTTAACAAGTTTCTTGCTCTTACTGTTGAATATTCTTGTCCTAAATTGCGTCTTCTCTTCCTTTTCACCTGTTCATAGTTCTCGTCCCTTCTTTGTCTCCAACGAGTTTGCGGAGTTTTTTTTCGGATGTAGTTTCAGTTATTCGTGATAATTTAGTAGGTACAGGTGAGTCGCCTTCCTGAAATTAAATATTCTTAATAGCAACAACATGATAAGCCACGTTCAAATTCGCGATAGTCTTGTTTTGGTAAAACATGATAAGCCACAAAACAAAATAATACATACCCACTTGTATCTGAACTTTCGTCATCATTTGATGGTACGAAATTCTTATCAACCACACTATCATCACTTGATTCATAAAATTCACTGCTTGAACTGCAAATATCGCTTGAAATAGGATTATTATCGAGAGGTGCATACGCACCGGTCGCCATTTTGACGTGGCTTATCACGTTTTAACGTGAAGGTTGTAGAGAGCCGCCTAATAGTAATAACTTGATTCAAGGCATAGTGGCTCCATCTATCGGACAATAGTCACAACTTTTCTACTGTGGCTTATCATATTCATGCTTAACAAAATTGAGGAATAAAAAGATTTTTGTCGTTGTGTGGCTTATCATGTTATTACAATAAGCCCTTCAAATGATCTCATCAAGCCACCCGTTTCAAAGAACTTCATTGGATCGCGCGGTCAAGCAATAAAATGTGAACTGGGCTTTCAATATAGGTTGTAAAATGCAGTATTTTATGATATAGGTTTGGTTGTTGATTAGCACCGACTTGTCATTGGCCAAACATGGCGGCAAATGTCATTCGTCGAATGAGTAGGCAGCCGCCTTTCCCTGTCATGTGATTCTATCGCTCTGGACACAACATGATGTCAAATGTCATTCGTCGAATGTTGTTATTTTTCTTTTGAAATAGTTTATTTAAACAAAATAATACAAAAAGATAACCAGTTTTAACAATAATTCCCCAATCAGTGTTTGCAAACACTGGCCCCGAGAATAACAAGACAATAATCATATCTATGAACTACAGTTTTGCTCTAGCACTGCACCACAAGTTTCTTCCTGTGTTAATTGTACAGATAATGGCCCAGAACCACACTGTACCGGTGGACAGACCCGCAGTTATGTGCCCACAACCCAAATCTGCAAAGATGAAGCCTTGCAACAACACCAACCAACAGCTACATCGAGGACATTGATTCAGCGACTACAAGAATAAGAAGAAGGTTTTGTTGATAATCGGTGGAGCAGCCACTGTCTTTATTGGGAGTGCAATCAAGATGAAATGTCCAGTCAGAAGGTCAGTATAGACAACACCTGTCAGCAGTTTTTTTGATTTACCCACTGCAAAACTTGATAGCTGTAGTCACAAAAAATTACTGTACCTTTGATAACAGTAATTCGGGTCTTCTAGGACACCAGAAATAATAATCTGTTACTCATGAAATAGTCCTGTGAAATTCCATTCGGACATCGTAACTTTTTCCTGTGAAAAAAATCGAAAAAACAGAATGCAAAGTAATATTTTTCACATCATCAATAATAGCTCAAGTTCGACTGAATATTTACAAAGACAGAGACTATGGGAATTTATATTTTTACACATTGCACAATCCACAATGCATTCAAGCTTTCAAGCAATTGTTGATGTAACGATAATGGAACTTTTTATTTTCAGCTTTGCAAAAAAAGAGCAGTTAAGCACGAAGTTTGACTGTAGATCTCAAAACATTTGAATCGAGTAGAAAAAACGAGCTTCCTTAATATTTCACTATTAAAGAATCTGACAAGTATGGTTGGTGTTGCTCTTTTCTTTGAAAAATTTATTCAATGCCCCGTTAATCTGTGAAGAAAATGTAAAAAGAAATCTGGTGAGTAGATGTATGGAGAAATAACCTTGTTCAGGGTCTACAGAATAATTTTTATGGATTCTGAATATGTCAAGGTTTAAAACAATTTCCTCATTGTAGTGTGCAGCAGGACGTGGCGTGTCAGGAAACAAATGCAGAATCATCCGAAGAGTCCGGTACGAAATGAAGAAACTAGTCGGACCAGCTTACAAATGATCTCATCAAGCCACCCGTTTCAAAGAACTTCATTGGATCGCCGTGTCAAGCAATAAAATGTGAACTGGTGCTTTCAATATATTTTGTAAAATGCAGTATTTTTGTGATATAGGTTTGGTTGTTGATTAGCACCGACTTGTCATTGGCCAAACATGGCGGCAAATGTCATTCGTCGAATGAGTAGGCAGCCGCCTTTCCCTGTCATGTTGATTCTATCGCTCTGGACACAAAAATCAAATCCAAGCGAATAACCAAAATTTCTGTTTTGTTTGCCGCGGTTATAATATGGTTCGAGATGACACACGGGTTGATGACGTCAGTTACACGAATCGCTTGAACGCGTTGGTTTTAACCGCGGTTTTGTTGCAAGTTGTTTATTTTAGAAAAGCGCGTATATAATCTCTGATTATTTTATTATCACTTAGTAATCGGTGCTTTTCGTCTACAACTGTAAATATATGGAAAGTTTAAATAAGAAACCTTTCATAATATTCATGGGAGAAATGTTTTTTTCAGATTTTTTTTTAATGATGGGACCATGGCTTTGTAGCTATGATAACTTTCAATTCTCTAAATTTTTCCGCATGTCAAAGAAAACATTTATTGATTCAGCAGAAATGATGAAAAAAGAAATTAGCAAAACCGTATACAGGTGGATATCATTTAGTGAGTTGGGCTACACAGGATACTTTGTTAAGCATAGGAACTACATTTAAAGTGTCCTCAACAACCGTAATGAGTATAACTAATAAGGTGCTTTACTTTATGGTAAAACTGAAGTCAGCCTGTATCATTTTTCTGAAAAATGAAGCTGAAGTACAATAACAATACCAATACCCGGCAAAATTCTAACTTGTCACATTTCAAATAATAACCAGAAAAAAAACTACTCTTGAGTTGGGTAAATACCACAGTTTTGCGGTGATAACTATGACATATAACAGCTGATTCGTGACGTCACGGATCTTATAACCAAACTGATAACTACACTCGCTTGAACGGATTGGTAAATACCAACCCAAAATGGTAAATACCATTTCCATTTGGTTATCCGCTTGAATTTGATTAAACATGATGTCAAATGTCATTCGTCGAATGTTGTTATTTTTTCTTTTGAAATAGTATATTTAAACAAAATAATACAAAAAGTATAACCAGTTTTAACAATAATTCCCCAATCAGTGTTTGCAAACACTGGCCCCGAGAATAACAAGACAATAATCAATATCTATGAACTACAGTTTTGCTCTAGCACTGCACCACAAGTTTCTTCCTGTGTTAATTGTACAGATAATGGCCCAGAACCACACTGTACCGGTGGACAGACCCGCAGTTATGTGCCCACAACCCAAATCTGCAAAGATGAAGCCTTGCAACAACACCAACCAACAGCTACATCGAGGACATTGATTCAGCCTGACTACAAGAATAAGAAGAAGGTTTTGTTGATAATCGGTGGAGCAGCCACTGTCTTTATTGGGAGTGCAATCAAGATGAAATGTCCAGTCAGAAGGTCAGTATAGACAACACCTGTCAGCAGTTTTTTTGATTTACCCACTGCAAAACTTGATAGCTGTAGTCACAAAAAATTACTGTACCTTTGATAACAAGTAATTCGGTCTTCTAGGACACCAGAAAATAATAATCTGTTACTCATGAAATAGTCCTGTGAAATTCCATTCGGACATCGTAACTTTTTCCTGTGAAAAAAATCGAAAAAACAGAATGCAAAGTAATATTTTTCACAATCATCAATAATAGCTCAAGTTCGACTGAATATTACAAAGACAGAGACTATGGGAATTTATATTTTTACACATTGCACAATCCACAATGCATTCAAGCTTTCAAGCAATTGTTGATGTAACGATAATGGAACTTTTTATTTTCAGCTTTGGCAAAAAAAAGAGCAGTTAAGCACGAAGTTTGACTGTAGATCTCAAAACATTTGAATCGAGTAGAAAAAACGAGCTTCCTTAATATTTCCACTATTAAGAATCTGACAAGTATGGTTGGTGTTGCTCTTTTCTTTGAAAAATTTATTCAATGCCCCGTTAATCTGTGAAGAAAATGTAAAAAGAAATCTGGTGAGTAGATGTATGGAGAAATAACCTTGTTCAGGGTCTACAGAATAATTTTTTATGGATTCTGAATATGTCAAGGTTTAAAACAATTTCCTCATTGTAGTGTGCAGCAGGACGTGGCGTGTCAGGAAACAAATGCAGAATCATCCGAAGAGTCCGGTACGAAATGAAGAAACTAGTCGGACCAGCTTACAAATGATCTCATCAAGCCACCCGTTTCAAAGAACTTCATTGGATCGGCCGTGTCAAGCAATAAAATGTGAACTGGTGCTGTTCCAATATAGGTTTTAAAATGCAGTATTTTTGGTGATATAGTTTGGTTGTTGATTAGCACCGACTTGTCATTGGCCAAACATGGCGGCAAATGTCATTCGTCGAATGAGTAGGCAGGCGTTCTTTCCGTGTCATGGTTGCTCTAAGCATTGCACAAAGATGGCGGCAAATGTCATTCGTCGAATGAGTATGCAGGCGTTCTTTCCGTGTCATGTTTGCTCTAAGCATTGCACAAAGATGGCGGCAAATGTCATTCGTCGAATGAGTAGGCAGCCGCCTTTCCCTGCCATGTGATTCTATCGCTCTGGACACAAACATGATGTCAAATGTCATTCGTCGAATGTTGTTATTTTTTCTTTTGAAATAGTTTATTTAAACAAAATAATACAAAAAGTATAACCAGTTTTAACAATAATTCCCCAATCAGTGTTTGCAAACACTGGCCCCGAGAATAACAAGACATAATCAAATCTATGAACTACAGTTTTGCTCTAGCACTGCACCACAAGTTTCTTCCTGTGTTAATTGTACAGATAATGGCCCAGAACCACACTGTACCGGTGGACAGACCCGCAGTTATGTGCCCACAACCCAAATCTGCAAAGATGAAGCCTTGCAACAACACAACCAACAGCTACATCGAGGACATTGATTCAGCCTGACTACAAGAATAAGAAGAAGGTTTTGTTGATAATCGGTGGAGCAGCCACTCAAAACATTTGAATCGAGTAGAAAAAAGAGCTTCCTTAATATTTCACTATTAAAGAATCTGACAAGTATGGTTGGTGTTGCTCTTTTCTTTGAAAAATTTATTCAATGCCCCGTTAATCTGTGAAGAAAATGTAAAAAGAAATCTGGTGAGTAGATGTATGGAGAAATAACCTTGTTCAGGGTCTACAGAATAATTTTTATGGATTCTGAATATGTCAAGGTTTAAAACAATTTCCTCATTGTAGTGTGCAGCAGGACGTGGCGTGTCAGGAAACAAATGCAGAATCAT